TATATATATATCCATAAAAGGAAACCTCTGGTGGATGTAGGCAAGTATAATTCAGGCTTACTCTCTACTCTTGTTCTAAAAACAAAACTTGAAGAATGCAGTTAGAATCTGCGATGTGAGCCACGGTAACGGGGTTTTTGTTTGCGAAGAGGCATAAGCACTGACACAGAAATAAATCTCAGAAGTAGGGAAAATGCTTCTGAATCAAGAGCAGGCTTGAGTTAGTCCCAGGGGAAGGAAGCGTACACCTGAAAGGCTCAGGACCACAAAGCGGTCTGTGCCTTTTCGTAAAGAGGCAGCATTAAACAGAAATACGTAAAAATGCAATCAACTGAAATCGATTTCAAGTTAATACAGTCCAAACACTGAGTCACCCTCACTGGGCTGCTATTTCACAAAAAAACCGGTATGTTCAGAAAGACAGTTAAGGAAGGAGAATCCTTTTCTTTTAGAGCTCGATAAAAGGACAAATAAATTAGAACGAATAGTTGAAACAGGTAATGATAGAATACACATACAATAACCATCTCCTAACTGGCCTGTTTTTAAGGTTGCATTTTAGATACTATTCTAATGTGGTACTTCTATAGTTTGTTTAATCTGATCACAGGATAAAACCTTGTCACACAAGTATTCGCTGGGAAGTCTACTTACACTTGGTATTATAGGAGGTGTCAAGGTGCCTTTTCTTAAGCCTTCCCAGTTAAAGCCCTCAAACCATCTAGGAAAGGGAGGAGAAAAAGGAGCTGGTTAAAGGCATTTTACTTTAGCTGAAGCCCCGTTGCAACATATTTGATGTGGAAATATCCATACAGGATGGAAAGCAGAAAGGCGGACATTTTCAACGTGACATAAATGTATCCTGTGTCATTGAAAACTTTTACAGTTGTTTTATACAATGCATATTTTAAAAATCTAATTGTTGAAATATTTAACATCGGTTACAAATAACTCCTTTGTCCCCCTGGCAATTTCGTCACAATGTCTGTATGACCTTGTTCCGGTACTATCATTATAACTTAGTAAGTGCCATGATATCCTTAGCCCATGATCTACTTGGACATCTTATTTTAAGGCAATGGAACCAGGGCATGAAAGTCAGGACAGAAAATTATTTTTCCAGCTTTGCACTGATTCCTTGGGCAGCCTAATTAACCTTTTCACATCACTATATTAGTCAGGTCTAACTCTGACTTGGTACTGTTTTTGTGTTCGTAGAAGAAAACATTGACTATGCAATACTAGGGTCATAATAATTTCTAGTAAAATGTCATTTTTAGTTAAGTGTTAAAAAAATGAAGGTATTTGTGTTCAGATTTTCTGTGAAAATGAGGAGCAGGTTTCTGTTTTGTCTTTAAAAGTTTTCAGCAGTAGCAAATGCATACACCAAATTCTTAGCAGGTGTTTTAGGTATTTATAGATACTTTGGTAAATAAGTTCTTTTTGCACAGATGTGAATTTCCTGTGGGTGTTGCACCAACAGACTAATAAAAAACAACAATTGGGTCTTAGATTAGCACTCAGATATCCAATTAACTAGGTAAGGGTTAATATTTAAGACGCTGCCATCACTTAACGCTGTACTCAGTACTATGTTGTATCATCTAATTGGGAAGCGGGTGGAAAAATATATTCCAGTTTTAGTCTAGGAAATGAGGCATGATATGGTGGAGGACTTGTGTTTTTGATATTCTGGTAGAGAACAGAATTCTAGAATCCACCTAGAATTCAATCGATCAATCTAGTTCACATTTCCTCTTGGTGCCAGAGAGGAGCAATGCTCCTTAGTGTGAGCTGGGAGAAACTGAATTCAGTGAATCGGTCACTTAGTATGGCACAGGGTCGCGTGTGGCTGTGCTGTGCCCAAAGGCTAACTGGTCTGAACGTCCCCCGCAGTGTTCCCATGGGCTAACTGTGTCAGTCACACAGCCAGTAGCTTAAAAAGAACAGCCTGGGGAGGGGCTTTCTGGACCCTCCCACAGAAAGGTCAAGGGAAGAACACTTACTTGTGCTTTTGAATGTCTTTGACGCCGTTTTTCAAATTCCCTAGTCTTTCCGATGGGTTATCCCTGGAAAGAAAACAACAACTGTAAGGGATCCCATCATGTTCCCGTCATGATCCTTTCAAACGTCACGTGGCCAAACGCTTACCTGCATAGTTTTTTAATTAAATTAGCAGCATTTTTGACAATCTTCTTCGGAAATTCTATCATGTCAATCCCCCTCAGTATGATGTTATAGGTTTTCATAGGGTCTGGGCCTGAGAATGGCGGGCTGCAAAGGTGAGAGGTGAAAAGAGAATCACTTGTATTTTCTAAATAAGAAATCCTAAACTGTTATAACTCCACCAGTCTTATTTGGGGACATATATTAGTCGTGGTAACACGGAACGATGCTGGATTAATAGCAAAACCACGTGGAAACCTTTGTGAGTAAATCATGGAGCAAAACCATATACGGGGGGTGCCTGGATGGCTCAGTGGGTTAAGTGTCCCGCTTTGGCTCAGGCCATGATCTTGCGGCTTTAACTGCCCCCCCACGTCGGGCTCTGTGCTGACAGCTCGGAGCCTGGAGCCCGCTTCGGATTCTGTGTCTCCCTCTCTGTCTGCCCCTCCTCCACTCGCTCGTGCACTCTCTTCCTCAAAAATAAATGAACATTAAAAATACAAACAGCCACCGCCCGCCAAACGATATATGGGTCAAGCTGATCTGCCATTCCTCTCATGTCTTGTTAGTCTTGCTGTCCTTGGCCATTCAAGATGTGGCTTCCACTTTCTAGCCCTTTTCCGGCACCTGTCAGCTCACTGATTACACTCAACATGAAGTCCAAAATCACTAGGCGGCTACAAGGATGCCGGTAATAGGACTCCATCTCCTGCTAACACCACCCTCACTCGCTGGGATCAGGACGCCATGTCTGCTCTCTGAAATACCAAGCATCTTCGCACCTCAGAATGCGGTTTGTTTCGCCTGGAAGGTTCTTCCCATATTTACCTGGCTAAAGGGTTATGCCGCTTTCCCAAAAAAGGTCTACTCCGATCAACCTACGGGATGGAACCGATCCCGTCACCTCTGTCAACCAACATAATGCGACAATTTAGTCTACTACTTGAATTTAAACTTGATTGTATTTTTTTTAAAGTAATCTCTACCCCCACTGTGGGGCTCAAACTCACAACCCAGAAATCAAGAGTCGTATGCTCCACAGACTGAGCCAGCCAGGCACCCCTTGAGTTTAAACTTAAAAGAGTCACCTGCCGTGATCTCTTCCACATCCTTTAGCTTTTTCACAACATCTAGCCGTCCATTTCCCCCTGGCATTACCTATTCTTGTTTCCTCTGTTGGAGAGTAATTGACCACATAAGCAAATGTTTACTTCTGGGCTCTCTGTTCGGCTCCCATGGTCTGTGTGTCTACTTTTGTGCTTTGTTCTTCTTTCTTAGGATTGCTTCTACTATTCAGGGTCTTTGGTGGTTTCATACGGATTTTAGTATTATTTGTCCTAGTTCTGTGAATAATGCAATTGGAATTTTGATAGGGATCGCACCGAATCTGTAGAGTGATTTGGGTAGTATGGACATTTTAACAAGACGAATTCTTACAATCCAGGAGCACAGACCATGTTTCCATTTGCTCCCAATTTCTTTCATCAAAATTTAATAGTTTTTGGAGAACAGGTCTTTCACCTCCTTGGTTAAATTTATCTTTGGTAACTTTATTTTTTGGTGCAATGTACATAGAATTGCTTTCTTAAATTCTCCTTCTGCTTTGTTATTAATGAATAGAAAGACAACAGATTGCTGTGTATTAATTTTTTGTTTTCCAACGTTACTGAATTCACTTATTATTTCTAACGTTTTTTGATGGCATATTTAGGGTTTTCTACGTGTAGTACTGTGCCATCTGCAAACAGTGACAGCTTAAATTCTTCCTTACCACGTTGGATGCCTTTTATTTCCCTTTCTTGTCTGACTGCTTCAGCTATGACTTCCAGTACTATGTTGAGTAACAGTGGTGATAGTGGAAATTCTTGTATTGTTTCTGGATCTCTCAGTTTCTCACCATTGAGTACGATGTTAGTTGGGGTTTTTTCATATACGGACTCTAATATGTTAAGGTATGTTCTTTCTAAAGCCGCTTTGTTGAGGGTATTATATACAGATGCTGAATTCTGTCAAAACCTTTTTATGCATCTGTTAAGATGATCATATGGGCTTTACCCTTTTTCTTGTCAATGTGGTCTATGATGTTGATTGATTTGAGAATACTGAACCACCCTTGTATCCCCAGAATAAATCCCACCTAATCGTGGTGAGTGATCCTTTTAATGTATTATTGAATGTGGTTTGCTAATATTTTTGTTGAGAATTTTTAAATCCAGGTTCTTCAAGTATATTGCCCTGCAGTTCTCTTTTTTGGTAGTGTCTTTGGTTTTGGTATCAGTGTAATACTGGTCTTATAAAATGAAGGTTTCTTTTTTTTTAGTAATAGTTTGGGGAGACTAGCTATCAGTTCTTCCTTAAATGTTGGGTAGAATTCACCTGTGAAGCCCTCTTTTCCTCAGCTTTTGTTTATTGGGGTGTTTTTGATTACTAGTTATAGGTTTGTTCAGATTTGCTATTTCTTCCTGATTTTGTTTTGAGCGATTGTGTATTTCTAGAAATTTATCCATTTCTTTTAGATTGTCCACTTTGGTGGCACATAATTTGTATAGAATTCCTTCTCTAATAACCTTTGCATTTTGGTACTGTTGGTTGTTACTTTCCTTTCACTTCTGATATTAATTATTTGGATTCTCTCTTTTGTTTTCCTTCATGAGTCTTGCTATATAGGTTTCTCAATATTGTTTCTCTTTTAAGAAAACAATACTCACTTTCATTGATCCTTTGTATTCTTTTTTTTTTTTTTTTTTTTTTTTTTTTTTTTTTTTTTTTTTGGTCTCTTGTTTATTTCCTCTCTGATTTTTATTATTTCCTCTCTTCTTATTTTGTCTTTGTCTGTTATCTTTCTAACTTCTTTACTGCTGAGATAAGCCTCCGCTACTACAAATTTCCTTCTTAGAACTGCTTTTGCTGCTTCCCAAAGATTTTGGATGGTTTTGTTTACGTTGTCTCCGTGTTTGTTGTTGCTGCTGGTATCTGTGTATTTTTAAATATTCCCTCTTTGATTTGTTCGTTGAGAAATTGGTCGTTTGGTAGCACGTTGTTTAGCCTCTTTATGTTTTGGCTTTTTTTCTTTTTTGTAACTGATTTGTAGTTTCATACCATTGTGGTTGGAAAACATGCTTGATATGATTTCAATCTTAAACGTATTGAGACTTGTAGCCTAAATTGTGCTCTGTCCTGGGGACTGTTTCACGTGCTTTTCATTCTGAAAAGAATGTGTATTCTGCTACTGTTGGATGGAATGGACCATATCTGTCTGTTATGCCCATCTAGACTAATGTGTCTTTCAAAGACACTGTTTCCTTACTGACTTCCTGCCTGGATGACAGGTCCATTGACACAAGTGGGGTGTTAATGTCCCCTGCTATGTTGTCTTACTGTCAACTTTCCCTTTATGTTCAGACTTGCTTAATGTACTTAGGTGCTCCCATGTTGGTGGATCGGTATTTACAACTTAAATCCTCTTGTTGGATTGATCCCTTTATCTCTATGTAACACTCTTCTTTGCCTTTGTTACAGTCTTTTTTGGTCTATTTTGTCAGGCATAAGTATTCTTACTGAAGCTTCTTTTGTCTTGTTTGTTTTTTTGGCTTCCTTTTGCATGCAATATTTTTTCCCCCCACTTTCAGTCTGCATGTGTCTTTAAAGTTTGCCTCTTGTAAGCAGCATACAGTTTTGTCTTTATTTTATGTGTATCTTTTATACATTTTAGTTTGTGGTTGCCATGAGGTTCATATGTAACAACATCCTAAGTATATAGTAGTCTATATTAAGTTGATGGTCACTTAAGTTAAGCACATTCTGAAAGAACTTGATTTTTACCCTCCCCCACCACTTTGTGTATATACTGTCATATTTTACAGCTTTTTATTTTATGAGTTGCCTTAATATTAATATATATATAT